TTATCACCTTGCTATAAGCTAAGAAACGCCTCGGCAGAATTTAAGAGTTTAATCACTTCTCGGCGCACACGTACAACCCTGGATTGGCTGATGTGTTTATTTAGTATCCAAGGCGTCAAGAAAAATCCTCAAAACAAGTAACGCTGCCGGTGTGTTAAAAGATTCACCACGTATTAAATTTCATTCCAGTTCTCTTCTTGAGAAATACAAGCAAAACACTACTGAGCCTAAAAGCTCCACTTGTTATACTGAACAGTCAAGCTCCAGTTTTTCTTGTGACATCAACTAAATTAACACCTGGGGCCTAGTTTACATAAAAATAAATAAATAAACTGCTGCTTTTTTACACTGCAGTGCTTTCACATTTCAAACGGAGGTTGGACCACTAGCTTGTACTGTTTCCTTTGTGGTCAGATGAAACTATTGCAATGGTTTATTATCTGGGTGTCCAAATACTTCCTTAAAACGTCTTCTGTTGATCCAAAATGCTGCTGCCAGAGTCTTAACTGGAGTTACTGGGAGAGATCATTTCTCTCCAGTTTTAGCTTCTCTTCACTGGCTCCCTGTCAAATTCAGAATAGAATTCTAAATCTTACTTCTAACCTACAAAGCTCTCAACAACCTAGCTCCATCTTATATTACAGATCTTATTGTTCCATATTTTCCTAACCGAACACTTCGCTCTCAGACTGCAGGTTTACTTGTGGTTCCTAGAGTTTCCAAGAGCAGAATGGGAGGAAGATCTTTCAGTTATCAGGCTCCTCTCTTTTGGAACCAACTTCCAGTTTCTGTACGTGAGGCTGACACATTGTCCAGTTTAAGACTGGGCTGAAGACTTTCCTTTTTGATAAATCCTATAGTTAGGGTTGGCTTGTTATGCTGCTATAGGCTTAGACTACTGGAGGACAATTTGAACTATATTAAAAAAATGAATAGTTACGAATAAATAGGTATGAATAGTTTGCATTTGATATTATTTCTATCTTAACATGATTCTCCACCTGCCATTGTGTATCTGTTCCTCTCAAACCCAGCCAGTTGAAGCAGATGACCACTTGTCCTGATCCTGGTTCTACTAAAGGTTTCTTCCTCATGAGGGAGTTTTTCCTTTCCACTGTCACCTTCATGCTTGCTCAAGATGAGAGTTCTGTGATGGAGTTAAATTCAAAGCAGTCTGCTGCTCAGATAAATAATATTAACTTATTTTTATATATGTGAATGTTTCTGTTCGGTGCCCTGAGACGATTTCTGTTGTGACCTGGCGCTTTATAAATTGAATTGTTTCTGGAAGCAGGACAGAGGAGCTGCTGTGTTCTGCCCTCACCATCGTTTTACAACCCCTGGAAAACATCACAGAATCAGGATGTTCTTTCACTTATCTAATTTTGTATAAAACACAAATTACTATAATTTTTTTAAATTCAAAATTTCTGGTATTAAGAAACAATAAATATAATTGCTGTCATTTGCCTTATTAGATCAAGTAGAGGAAAAAGATGTGGGCTCACTGTGTAATTTGCGATTCTAAACCAAACAGCAAACTAAATCTATTCGTCTCCTGACATGCAGGCCCTGACATGAGTGTGCATGCAGGAAAAGACACAGGAGGTGACATAATTGCACCTTCAATAAATGCCAAAGTCTACATTAAAACTGGACGTTTTTCTTATGTCACTACTTAAAAAGATGTTTACGGAATATGACTTTATTTTCAAGATGATAATGCAGTTTACCACAGGGCAAAGGACATAAAAAACTTTCTTTCAAGAACAGTTACCGTCCAGTAAATCCACTGGTATCTTTTACACTATTAATTTGGTTTGAAGTGGTGAAGGAACTAAAAGCAGCCAGATACAGGTTCTCAGATGGGCTGCCTTTGACTCAGAGTTTATTCCTAATCAAACTGATTCAAGTTTTAAAAAGGGGTCAAACAAAGGAATAACTGCATATTGCAAGATACTGGATAAGAACTGAGCTTCCAGACACGACAACAAAAATATGACTTAGAAAATGGTAGTTTTAGATATTTAAAGTTATGACAATACTTCATTTCAAACGCACTGACAAGGCATATTTCAGAGCCCAACGAGATAATTCTTTTTACTGAAAGTCCTAAGTGCCGCAGCAATAAAAGCAATTAGGGTACTCGAAAATGGCTTCAATCTGACCCACCAATACTGGAGGACTGGTTGAAAATGGCAGAGAAAACCCACAAAATGGAGAGGTTAACATTTATGCTGAGGCTGCAAGTTGAACTCTACAGAAATTCATGGGGTAAATGGACTAGATTCCTTGAGGACAATTAGTTGGCGTGGTCCGGCTCTTAGCCCTGAGAAACTACACATGAAGCGTAATCCTGACTGCTCTCTCATACCTGTAACTTTGTTTATAACTTTTATAAGATTGTGATTATTATCTATTGCAGATATAAGTTGGTTCTGTTATGATGACAAAAAGATAATCAATAAAAACTAAGTAAAAAAAATAATTCCTTCTAGAAAGACGTAATGTCAACAACATGGCCTACAGATGGTGCTGATCTTAATCCAGTTCAAAATATCTGAGAAAAAGGAAGCGAACAGTCAATGACATGGCTCCAACCTGCAGAGCTGATCTGGGAACAGCAACAAGAGACAGTTGGGAGCAGATTGATGAAGAGTAGCTTGTCATTAGTTTGGTCAATGTCTCAGAGAATTCAAGTTGTTTACAAAGTCAGATGTGGTGCAACAAAGTACTAAAAGGGCAGTTTTCTCATGATTCCATTGTTTTTTTCCTGTGACCAACTATATATATATTTTTTGTTATATCTTAATGCCAGAAGATTGGGATTTTGAAGGGAATATTAGAGTTTTGAGTCTGTTACATTTTATATTATATAGAAAATTAAAACAATTGAAAGAACATCCTCCAGGAGTGGTGATTTAATAATTTTTGCCAGGGTTTGTATTTCTTCATGCTGTAAATCATCAGCAGGTCTGTGGTTGTTATATTACCACTGATTCACTGCACTCTGTATAATAAATGCATTACATTTTGATATGATGTGACCTGCCGCCTGAATCAAGTCCACAAAGACCAAGAAACCAAGTTCTGAGAAAAAAGTTAAACAAGTAAATAGATAGTTCATTAAATGTCCTCACTTGTGCAAAAAAAAAAAAAAAAAAGAGCTCAACTCTAATTAGTTTGAAGAGCTAATGGCTAGTCTAAGCAGGACCGAGACTAGAGTGGACAGCTATCGTCTTAAAATATTCAGGTTACTTCAAAGCAGTTCATTTAAATGCTGCTTTATAAACTTTTACAACATTGTTATTTTAGCATTACACAGTTATTCTGGCAGAAATATAATACTTTTCCAGACAAGGGTGCTACAGCTAGCTGCTGCTGCTACTTGAAGTTGAAAAAGAAATGGTAAATGGACTGTACTTGTATAGCACCTTTCTATCTTATCAAGACACTCAAAGCTCTTTACGTTGCAATCTGTGTCCTCATGTATCCATTCATACAGCACTCTACTAGATCTATACAAAGAATAATCAGAGCTTTATCACATTCATGCACCGATGGGACACACATCGGAGGCAATGAGGGGTTCAGTGTCTTGCCCAGTGACACTTCAGCATATGAGTGCTGGTGGAATCGAACCCTCAACTATCACAATGGAGGACGACTGCTCTAAGCACTCAGCCACAACCGCCCCATAGGGACAAAAAGAAAACCTATAATTATATGTATATAACTTTAACAAGATAATGGTGACTGCATTTTGAGAATGAAGTTGTTTTAAGATGGCAGCAATCTACTTATGCTACTATCTCACTAGTATACTAGTATATCTTAGTATCTCTCAATCAGTCCATCCATTATCTTATCCGCTTCTTCCTTTTTGGGTCACTGGTGTCCAAATCCAGCTATCACTGTGTAAGAGGCGGGACACACCCTGTCTCCAGTCCATCACAGGGACACATAAAGACAAACAAGACAAACAACCATTCACTCTCACACTCACAACTAGGGACAATTTAGCATTACCAATCAGTCTAACATGCATGTTTTTAGTCTGTGGGAGAAAACCTGGAGAAAACCCACGCGTGCACGGGGAGAACATGCAAACTCCACCCAGAAAGGGCCCTGGCCAGCATTTGATCTGGCGACCTTCTTACTGAGAGGCGGCAGCTCTACCAACTGACTGAGCCACCTATCTCACTCATGTCTCCCCAGTATCTCACTCTCCCCAGTATCTTACTATTACTTCCCTAGTATCTCATTAGTATCTCAATATTTTACCAGGACTACAAAAAAAATGCACCTTTAATCATAAATAATTGCACACCCAGCACCTACAGGCCACCTCAAGGACTCGAGACACTTTCTTTTCCTTTAAACAAGTTCAGAAACGCTCCAATGAGACAAGCTCTTTCAGCTCATCTCCAGGAAGCTCATTTAACTCTTAGTGTAAAAAATCAGTATGGTATTTATCCATAACTGATAAGTTCCGGGGCAGCACGGTGGTGCAGTTGGTAGAGCTGCTGCCTCTCAGCGAGTAGGCTGCCCCGGTTCAAATTCTTGTCCGGGGGCTTTTCTGGGTGGAGTTTGCATGTTCTCTCCGTGCATGCGTGGGTTTTCTCCCACAGACCAAAAACATGCATGGCTGATTGGTAACTCTAAACTGTCTCTAGATGTGAGTGAGAGAGTGAATAGTTGTTTGTCTCATTTGTTTCTATGTGTCCCTGTAATGGACAAGAGACTGTCCTGGGTGTCCCCCGCTCCTCGCACAGTGATGGCTGCATATGGACACCAGTGACCCCTGCGATACAAAAAGGAAGAAGTGGGTAAAGATGATGGATGGATGGATAAGTTCAGCCCAATACTCCAATCATTTAGAAAAAAAAAAGACTTTTAGGTCACAGCAGCCGACCTGATCTGACCCATAATCAATAGAGGTCTTAAGATCCTTTCACTGGGTGTTTTTTTTTTTACTGGTTCACACAAGTCATCCCTACCTGAATCATGGTCACGACATGGCAGGGGTTCAGCAGATAGATCACCGTCTTGGTTGCGAACTTGAACCCGACCTCCACCCCAAAAGTCATACAAAGAGCAACCAGCAACAGGTTCTTGCCCAGGCTGTCCTCCTTCGTTCTGACGCTGTCCCTCCCGACCACCCTGAACTCTTTCGAGACGTTGATGTTCCTGAGCGCAACGCCGATCTCCACCAGGAAGATGAGCACGATGAGCAGAGTCTCTACGAGCCGCTGCTGGGGCGCGATGAAGGCTGCACACTCGGGCCCCCCGTTGCCCTCGAACTTGGGGTCCACCCCGCCGTAGATCCAGTCCAGCAGGCTGTAGATGTTGTACCGGGACATATTCCTCTTGTCTTGTTGGAAAAGATACGAGCAAGATGGAATGTATGACGTCACACTGACCTCTTGGCGAAACATGAACAGAAAGATTTCCTCGTCTTCGTTCACTCGGCGGGTTGACCAAATGGCATGTAACCGTCAGCTTGACGTGATTCGGTTAGCAGTTAAATTGTCTCATGTAGACGGAAGCGGAACTTCAGTCAGCGACTGGAGGAAGCGGTTGTCAAGACTACCCGTGTGGGCACTGCTGCGAGCCTCGTCCCTCCTCTGGACGCCAAGCAGGCTAACGTGGACAGGCAAATTAGCCTCGGGGCCATTTCGAGCCTATGAACCTTTAGGTCGTATTAATTATTAAAGGAATCATGCTTGGAAGCAGCTAGAGGGAGGTTGTGGTCGTAAGTGTTACATTAGCACCGACAACATGCAGTTTGTTAGCTTAACTTCCGAGCCTGACTGAGCCGAAGAAGCAGCGCAGCTGCTAGTTTTGTTTATGAAACCCTGATTTTAGCCTCGCAGGTTGCTTGGAAATCAAAGTGCAATAAATAAGTCCACTGTTAATGTTCATAAATAACGTTACTGATGTTTTAAAATACAGCTTTATAGATTTTAAAAATCAAAAATTGCCTATTTAAACTTGGGTTTTGGGGGGGGGGGGTTAGTGTGCCTGCGAGAAATTACGGAGGTCTTAGATTTACAGTGATATCCCCGCCTTGTGTGACGCCGATGGTACGTTCACGGACAAACGGAAACTGATGATTTTCCCTTTTTTTTTTTTTTTAAAAAAAAACGTTTTTCTTTTGAAATACTACAGTACAAATATTTACAGTATATGTACATACTGTGAACCAAAATGCTGCATTTGAATATGTCAGAATTTGACAAATGAATTAAAATAACTTCTTCCTACCCCCCCCCCCCCCAAAAAAACCCCTCCAACACAAAATCAAAAATTTATTTATACATTTGATCAATTATTCATTCAAACTTTATTTATACATAAGGCAGCCATGAGGCTTATTATAATGTACAAACCTTAGTCTTGATGTAGAGGTTAGTTATAAGTAAAATATTTTAGGAAATCAACCTTTTAAAAGTTGATTTTCAAAGGTAAGTACAAAATGTAAATCAGCGAGGGCACCTTCACTGCTCCAATGAGATTTATGATAGTAAGAGGCCAACAACAAAACATTCTCATCCAATTTTAATCTGGAAACTCTAAAATATATATGAATTAATGAATTTCAGTCATAACCACTGAAATATTTATTTTGGCAATGACAGACAGCTCTGACTGACAGAATTCAACGTTCTACTTCTAACTATGGCAATTTGTAACTTGTCTAGATCAATTTGTAGAACAGATGAAAACTTAAGATTTTCAAACATTAGAGTTTTATTATTCCTATTGTTTAATTAGTATGTCAATTTGTTGATTTGGTTGGAGGCTACTTAACAGTTTATGTGATGACTTAACACGTTTTCAATCATTCAAAGTTTTGTTTTGCTAAAAAAAAAGAAAGCTAAGAGCAAAGCTGCAGGTCCAGATGGAATCAGCTCCAGGCTCCTGAGGTGCTGCTCAGATCAACTGTGTGGCATCATGGGATTTATGTTCAATCTGAGCCTGAAGCTGGGGAAAGTACCGCAGCTGTGGAAGACCTCCTGTGTGGTACCAGTACCAAAAACCAAACATCCCAAGGACCTCAGTAACTACAGGCCGGTGGCTCTGACCTCACATTTGATGAAGACACTCGAGAGGCTGGTCTTCAACCATTTGCGCCACCTGGTTAGGTCTTCATTGGATCCGTTGCAGTTTGCCTACCGGCCTGGCATCGGGGTGGATGATGCCATCATCTACCTCAGGCACCAAGCTCTGACCCACCTGGAGAAACCTGGAAGCACTGTGAGGATCATGTTCTTTGATTTCTCCAGTGCTTTCAACACCATCCAGCCAGGACTTCTGTGGGACAAGCTGGAGTTGTCAGGAGTGGATCACCACATGTCCCAGTGGGTACTGGATTACCTCACTGAACGCCCACAGTACAGTATGTGAGGATGCAGGGCTGTGTCTCTGACAGGTTGGTCTCCAGTATGGGGGTCCCACAGGGAACTGTGCTGACACCCAGAGACACAGCCCCTTCACCCTCTACACTGCAGACTTCACCATCAACTCCCCACACTGCCATCTGCAAAAGTTCTCTGATGACTCTGCCATAGTTGGCCTCACGATAGGTGAGGACGACTCAGAGTACAGACAGCGGACTCAAGCTTTGTGGACTGGTGCCAGCAGAACCACCTCCTGATCAACGCTGCTAAAACTAAGGAGCTGGTGGTGGATTTCCGCAGGCACAGACCCACCTCACTGACCCCGGTGAACATCCAGGGAGTGGACATTGAGATTGTGAACTCTTATTATTGGGTTTTATTATTGCCCAGCATTCGGGCGGTCCTACACCCCAGGGGAACCGAGAGGCCAGCCGAGTCTGGGAGGACGGATCCGACAGCATCTGCAGCCAGTTTCTTAGGATCCACTGTGGGATGGACCTTTACAAGAGATCCTTCCTGCCTACAGCCATCAGCATCTATAACATCTCTCAATGAAATGAGGATAACGAGTTACAACAACAAATAATTTCCCTTTGGGATTAATAAAGTATTTTTGAATTGAATTGAATTATAAGTACCTGGGTGTTCACCTGAACAATAAACTGGACTGGTCTCACAACACTGATGCACTTTACAGGAAGGGTTAGAGCAGACTCTACCTGCTGAGGAGACTGAGGTCTTTTGGAGTGCAGGGGGTGCTCCTGAAGACCTTCTTTGACTCGGTACTGGCATCAGCCATCTTCTATGGTGTTGTCTGTTGGAGCAGCAGCTTATCATCAGCTGAGAAGAAGCAGCTAGATAAGCTCATCAAGAAAGCCAGCTCGGTGCTTGGAGCACCCCTTCGACCCAGTGCAGGTGGTGGGAGACAGAAGGACTGTAGCTAAAATAACATAATTGCTGGACAACGTCTCCCACCCCATGTATGAAGCTGTTGCTGAACTGGACAGCTCGTTCAGTGACAGATTACTGCATCCTAAATGCACAAAGGAGCGTTACCGCAGGTCCTTCCTCCCAGCAGCTGTTAGACTACAATCATCACTGCTCCCAACAAACTCAATAAGGATTAAATACATGCTGACCTCTGCTAAAATACACACTCTGCCTATAATACTGTACTGTAAATAGTCTGTCCTTATCAATGTTCCAATACATAATGAACATTACTATTGATATTGTTTATCTTATTTCTTTATATATTGTATTGTTTATTAACATTTAGGAACTTTTGTGTGAAATATTTTTATCTTTTTATCTGTTGCTGCTGTTACACTTGAATTTCCCATCCGTGGGACAATAAAGGCTGTTTCTATTCTATTCTACCCTTTAAAGGACCATGTTAAAGATTGTGAGGAGAAATATGTTCTGACAGGAAACATTTGAGATTTTTTATATGAAATCTGCCATCACCATGAATACGAATGGACTCACAATTCACCAGCTTATGCTTTACAGCTGAAATTAAACCAAATGGCCATCATGTCATGTTAACTACTGATATAACAATCTGGGTTATTATAGGACTTTATTACATTTGAAATATATTACTTTATTGAAGTGACAATATACAAATTTATCACAGTCCAATAAAACCAATTTTGTCAATTTGTAATGTAAAAAGTTTTTTTTTTTTGACTTCTGAATGCATTTAAAGAAAACTTTAAAAATCATTCAAGAGATGGGGGAGACGGAGAGATGTGTCGGAGAATGGACTGACAAGATAAGAGAAAAGACAAGTGAAAAAGCTTCCAGATGCATTCATGTCTTCCAAAATGCCTTCTCCGGTGAGTTTTTAAAATACCTCATCACATTCTTATAAACAAATAAGATGCCCAGAATGCAAACTGAAACTCGAGGGGCCAAACAGTAAAAAAGTGTTGATTTTCAAAAATAACTCACAGGAACACAGGAGGGGCTGTAGGAGAGGAGATACGGCGAGTATAGTTCTGTACAATCCTGTGGTTACTCAGAAGGTTTAGACTCAGAAGGTAGAGAAGTTTGCTTACTTGTATTATAGTTTGCAGGTTGAGAGAGTGGACCAGGGGGTTCCAAGATGATGGAGCAGACCAAGGTGACCAGGTAAGTAGCGAGGAGTGAGAGTGGCAGGATGGACCTCAGGGCTGGACAGCAAGATGTTCAGAAGTACTTTTATTGTTGTAGATTGTAGATGACTGTTCCAGGAGATGAATCCAGAAGGACACAAGGAGCAGAACAAGGAATATAACAAAGATCCTGAGAATGAGGAACAGAGAATTAGGAGCTACTAGGAGCACAAGGAAAACAGAGGATATTAAACAAGATCTCATCAGGGCCAGACAATGTACCAATGTGGGACAATAAAAAGGTTAAATCGTGTCATATGGACCAGTTTCTTTAAGTGAGAAATGTTTTGTCCCCCATCCAGAGGACTTTGTCAGTCTACTGCCTTCCAACACTAGCTGTGACTGGACTATTGCAATGGTTTATTATCTGGGTGTCCAAATACTTCTTTAAAACGTCTTCAGTTGATCCAAAATGCTGCTGCCAGAGTCTTAACTGAAGTTAGTAGTGTAAACCGTCATAATTATTGTCCTCATGGGCTTGCCATACAGTAGACAGGAAGTGACGTAAGGATTCAGTGTACATGTTACGGGCATTCAATAAACAGACCCGGGCTCATGAAGCGTGTCGATTATCTTTATTAAGACTAATACGAAACATTACATGGTGTCAGAGTATCGCGAACTGCACGACCGCTGGAGATTACAAAATGGATTCGTCCGGAGTTCCCGCACCGCAGATGGACTGGGATGCAGTTAACCCCCCCGAAGCCTGGCAGGACTTCGTCCAGCACGCAAAGCTAATGTTTAGCGGTCCGCTAAAAGACAAGTCGGAAGACGTCCTGTGCAGCTATCTTCTCCTGTGGGTAGGAAAACGAGGCAGAAATATTTGTAACACATGGCAGTTGACCAGTGATGAAGCTAAGAAGCTAAAAAACCTATTTTGAACGGTTTGAACAGCATCTCATGCCAAAGACGAACACCATTTTTGCCAGATACAAGTTTTATGAAAGAGTCCAAGAGGAAGGGGAGTCATTCGAAAAAAACGGCATAATTGCCAAAGTAAAAG